AACAGTGGAATACTTTCCAATCTGCCACTAGATGGCACCAAGCAAACATTCATATGAGACAATGGTGTAGAACAGTAGGATTCCTTCAGAGATTTCTAGGTGTTGCATGAGCTGTGGTCGATTGACCTTCCACTTGCCTGCATTGTATCAGGGCCAATGCCACTTTGCAGAGCCAGCAGCATGACACCAATGAACTTTTTAAGCTGTCTGTAAGGGTGGCATTCTGGCCACTACTGCAGAGGGTGCACTATTCCTACTCACCACCAATGTAAAAATGCATTTTTGGGGGATGCAGAGATGTACATGGGGGTACAAAGGTGTGTTGGGGGTGCAGAGATGTTTTGGGAGTACATGGATGTGCTGGGAATACAGAGGATGCTAGGAGGTGCAAGGGTATATGAAAATGTGCTGGTGGATGCAGAGGTGTGCTGGGGGTGCAAAGATGTGCAGTGGGGGTACACAGATTTGCTAGGGGGGTGCAGAGACATGCTGGGGGTTTATAAAGACTTGCTGGGGGGATGAAGGTGTGTTGGGGTACAGAATGTGATTTTGGATACAGAGTATGCTAGGGGGTGCAGAGGTGTATGGTGGGGGCTGGGAGAGGAGGGTCAAAAGACGTGCAAGGGTGAACAAAGATGTGCTGCTGGGTAGTATTGAAGTGTGCTGGGGGTGTGTGGAGGTCTTCTTGGGCTACAGAGATGTGCTGGCGGGGGGGGGGGGGGGGTATAAAAGGCAAAGGCAGACATGCCATTCCCGGGACAAGGCCTACGGCCATGGGTTTTTTTCTGCATGGGGTATAAAGGCAGGCTGGGGAATACAGAGGTGTTCTGGGGGTACACAGATTTACTGGAGGGGGGTACAGAGGTGTTATGGAGGTAAGAAGTTGTGCAAGGGGTATGGAGATGTCCTGGATGTACAGAGGTGTGCTGGGAGGTACAAAAGTGTGCAGGGGTACAGGGGTGTCCTGGAGATACAGAGATGTGCTGGGGGGTACAGGGGTGTTCTGGGGGTACACAGATGTACTGGGGGGGTATGGAGGTGTTATGGGGGTAAGAGGTTGTGGAAGGGGTATGGAGATGTTTTAGGTATACAGAGATGTGCTGGGAGGTACAAAAATGTGCAGGGTGTAAGGGGGGTGCCCAGGAGATGTGCTGGGGGGTACAGGGGTGTTCTGGGGGAATGGAGATGTACTGGGAATACAGAGATATGTTGGAGGATACAGGGGTGTGCTAGGGGTACAGGGATGTGCTTGGTGGCACCAATTGTGCTTTGTTAGGGGAATTTCTCCTAACTTCCTGTCCGGCTGACAACAATTTCACCAGACAGGAAGTGAAGTAGAAAAAACTTGCAACAGGGTATCAGAAATAAACACACGGCTTTTGGGTCTTCCACTACTAATAAAGCATTTTTATATATTTCTGTATTGTTGTTGAAGAGTTTGCCTCACTTTTTGTCTGGTTAAAAGCGACAGGAAGTGAGGGGAAATCTCTCTAATGGGGCTCTGGATAGAACTAAAAACTAAGAAAAATTTTGGCTGAACATACACTTTATGATGGTGCTAAGGTTTATATGTGCCCGTGGACTTGCTTGTGGTACAGAAATGACAACATATTTTGTGGTTACAAGCAGAGATGAGCTCAGGCTTGTTCAGACGCAAGGGTGAACCCGCCTGAGCTTTCCGGTCAGGAAGCTGTCAAAGAGGACAGCCAATCAGGACAGCCAGGAATTCCCCGTCCCACAGTCGGACATATACACACCACTTGTAAATGTGTGGCTGCAGGGCAGGGAATGCCCGAGTCACTTGTGATTGGCTGTCCTCTTTGACAGCTTTCTGACAGGTTAGTTCAGGTGGGTTCGGACTTGTGTCTGAACAAGCTGGAGCTCATCCCCAGTTACAAGGACTGTGGCATATATGTGCTGTGCATACAACAAAAAGGCTCAGGTTCTATTTAACAATAGGTGAACAATAGGTGAACAGTGTGGCCACACCCACTATTTGAAGCTGAGCGTCTACTGTCTAGACCTGAGCCAGCACTGATACAGCAGGGATATTGATGCATGGGCCAGCTTGGTTACCTAATGTTAATGCATTATTGTTTTTCCACTGTTGCAGAATGATTATTCATGTAGTAAAAGTCTAAGGTATGCCTTTAAAACCTTTTAATCAGTATTTACATGTTACTGTTTCTGCCAGTGTTTTGTTTTTGTGTACTTTTGTTTTTTTTTATCCTCATAACTACATCTTTCTTAGGCCGTTTGGGTCTGCCTGTCAGTGTTTCAGGCAGACCCGATAGGACCATACACAGATCTCTGGATGGACAAGTGTCCGCTGACACCCGCTGGCATCCGATCCAATCCTGTACACCAAAAACAGATGGATGGGGATCTGTTCCCCATCCATCCAGCAGATCGGATGAAAGCGGGGTGGATACAGACAGTCGGTACATTTCCATCCAACCACCCCATGGGGGAAAAGCAGGCTGTGTCTGTGTCTGCTCTGCAGCAGCAGAGCAGACACAGACCTGTCATCTGCTTGCTTAGCGGGGATCAGCGGAGAGATCCCCTGCTGAGCAAACGGATCCACTGGCGGGTCCGCCCTGTCTGAAAGGGGCTTGCTATGGGGGCACACACAAAAGAGGAGCCTGGAGCGCCGGCGAGGGACCCCAGAAAAGGAGGTTCAGGACCACTCTGTGCAAAACCTTTGCACAGAGCAGGTTAGTAACATGTTTGTTATGTTAATAAAAAAAAAAAGTATGACCTTTACAATCACTTTAAAAAGGCACTGTTGCTGAACCATTAATTTTAACAAAAATCTTAATATATAAATTATATGTGCATTTAATGTATGTTATGCATGTAATTTATCTGCAAATGCTTTGTGTGGATATCCAAAAGTCCTGAGATTGTTGCTGGACCAGGGGCAGACTGACCATTTGGAAACTCGGGCACTGCCCGAGGGCCCGGGGTCAGGGGGCCCCATGAGATGCCCCAGGTACCTTTTTCATAGGCTTTTTTGAGTTTGGGCAAGGACACAGGGGCCCCATGATCCCCTATTGCCCGGGGGCCCCATGAGTTGTCAGTCCGCTCCTGTGCTGGACACCACCATCTTGAAACTGTCACTCAAGTGGGACTCTTTAGTATTCTCCTTCACTCCTACCCTGACAATTACATAGAAGGTTATGTAGAGAGGTGAAAGGAGAGGAGACGATGCTGGGCCAGCACAGACAGTAATCAGACACTTTCAGAAGAGGTAAGGGTTATGACTTGCAAGCAGAGAGGGGGCAATGCTAGGGTATGAACTCTTTCTGTAGTAGTAAGTAAACATTAAAAATCTAAAATACTTGATTTTTGTGTGCTTTTACCTGCAGCTAAAAGAGTTGACCACATTGTTTATGGTATATCCCAAGTAGAGATAGTGGCATATAGGATAGGATACAAGCTAGCCAACAGGACTTGGTTGAAATTCTGAGCCCCTTTTCTATAGTTCATCCTATTTTTGGAGCTTGTTCAAGATACCTTTCAACATTTTTTCTTTTCTAATAGCCAAACTCCATATCTCTACTCATGGACTCTCTGTGTACTGCTCTTCTATCAGTATAGCCCAGGAGATTTATGCACAGTGTTAAGAATATTATTTGGTACCAATCCATGTGGGCTCATTAAAATACAGCTATTCCTTCTCTCCCCCTTGTTGTCTTTTAGACTCAAGAAGGGATTTTCTGATGCCCTTTGTGCTCCCCATGCTCTCACATTGTGGAGGTGGTCAGTGATTCAAGGACACACTCTAGTGACTGGCTAATCATTTTCACAGTTTTGTTAGTGTTTCACATTAACCACCTCTTCCACTAAAAGATTTTGAAATTGAAACGCATCAACATTCAAATGTAAAACGGTGTCAGAATATGGCTACTGGAACAGCTATTTTGTAATATATGTAGGCAGGGTGGTGCTGATGCCATATACAAATGTACGTCATTTGATGTTAAGTGGTTGTACCGGGATGATGTATTGTTTAAGCTGGAGGCCCCCAGTGCCTCTCCAGGCTCTACCGTCCCACCAGCGAGCCCAGAATGAAAGCTGGTGGTTCTGCTGGCTTACCACAGAGATCTCCGAGGACTGGAAGGTCCCCGATTATCTCTGTGATATAGGAAACCAGAAGCGACAAGTGGAAGTAAACTGTACCATTTTTTAAAATAGGGAAAGCATCTGAACACACCAATCTTGGTGTAATCAGATGCTTTTAGGTCAGAGGAGAGATCGGGGTCTAAAAGAACCCCAATCTCTCCATAAAGAGTACCTGTCATTGCCTATTGCTGTTACAAGGGATGGTTACATTCCTTGTCACAGCAATAAAAGTTATTAAAAAAAATTTTAAAGCACCCGTCCCCCGCTTGTGTGCAAAGCACATACATAAACGGTGACAGCACCACACATGTGAGGTATTGTTGTGAATGTCTGAGCGAGAGCAGTAATTCTAGCACTGGATCTCCTCTGTAACTCTAAACTGGTAATGCGTAAAGGCTTTTAATCATCGCCTATGGCATCATAGTTTGTCACTATTTCATGGTATGTGCCATTTTGTAGCATAACATGTTGTATCTGTTTACTTGGCATAACACCATCTTTCATATTGTACCAAAAACTGGGTATTGTATTGTGCTTATGTGCATTAAAATTCATGAAAATGTATTTTTTCCACTACACTTGTGTTCGAAAAAACCGCTGCGCAAATACCATGTGACCCACCATTTTATCTTTAGGGCCTCTGCAAAAAAAAAACCAAAATTATATTTAAAGTGTCTCCCAGAAGTGAGTACACCTCTCTCATTTTTGTAAATATTTTATTATATCTTTTCATGTGACAACACTGAAGAAATGACACTTTGCTACAATGTAAAGTAGTGAGTGTACAGCTTGTATAACAGTGTAAATTTGCTGTCTCCTCAAAATAACGCAAAACACACCGCTGGCAACAAAAGTGAGTACACCCCTAAGTGAAAATGTCCACAATGGGCCCAATTAGCCATATTCCCTCCCCGGTGTCATGTGATTCATAAGTGTTACAAGGTCTCAGGTGTGAATGGGGAGCAGGGGTGTTAAATTTGGTGCTATCACTCTCACTCTCTCATATTGGTCACTAGAAGTTCAACATGGAACCTCATGGCAAAGAACTCAGAGGATCTGAAAAAAGAATTGTTGCTCTACATAAAGATGGCCTAGACTATAAAAAGATTGCCAAGACCCTGAAACTGACCTGCAGCACGGTGACCAAGACCATACAGCGGTTTTAAAGGACAGGTTCCACTCAGAACAGGCCTCGCCATGGTCAACCAAAGATGTTGAGTGCACATGCTCAGCGTCATATCCAGAGGTTGTCTTTGGGAAATAGACATATGAGTGCTACCAGCATTGCTGCAGAGGTTGAAGGGGTGGGGGGTCAACCTGTCAGTGTGAGACCATACGCCGCACACTGCATCAAATTGGTCTGCATGTCTGTCATCCCAGAAGGAAGCCTCTTCTAAAGATGATGCAAAAGAAAGCCTGCAAACAGTTTGCTGAAGACAAGCAGACTAAGGACATGGATTACTGGAACCATGTCCTGTGGTCTGATGAGACCAAGATAAACTTATTTGGTTCAGATGGTGTCAAGCGTGTGTGGCGGCAACCAAGTGAGGAGTACAAAGATTAGTGTGTCTTGCCTACATTCAAGCATGGTGGTGGGAGTGTCATGGTCTGGAGCTGCATGAGTGCTGCTGGCACTGGGGAGCTACAGTTCATTGAGGGAACCATGAATGCCAACATGTACTGTGACATACTGAAGCAGCGCATGATCCCCTTCCTTTGGAGAGTGGGCTGCAGGGCAGTATTCCAACATGATAACGACCCCAAACACACCTCCAAGACGATCACTGGCTTGCTAAAGAAGCTGAGGGTAAAGGTGATGGACTGGCCAAGCATGTCTCCAGACCTAAACTCTATTAAGCATCTGTGGAGCATCCTCAAACGGAAGGTGGAGGAGCGCAAGGTCTCTAACATCCACCAGCTCCATGATGTCGTCATGGAGGAGTGGAAGGGGCAACCTGTGAAGCTCTGGTGAACTCCGTGCCCAAGAGGGATAAGGCTGTGCTGGAAAATAATGGTGGCCACACAAAATATTGACACTTTGGGACCAATATAGACATTATCACTTTTGTTGCCAGCGGTTTAGACATTAATGGCGATGTGTTGAGTTATTTTGAGGGGACAGCAAAATTACAAGCTGTACACTCACTACTTTACATTCTAGCAAAGTGTTATTTCTTCAGTGTTGTCACACACGAAAAGATATAATAAAATCATTACAAAAATGTGAGGGGTGTACTCACTTCTGTGAGATACTGTATATGTACAGTGGGGATCGAAAGTTTGGGCACCCCAGCTAAAAATTTGTATTAACGTGCATAAAGAAGCCAAGGAAAGATGGAAAAATCTCCAAAAGGCATCAGATTACAGATTAGACATTCTTATAATATGTCAACAAAAGTTAGATTTTATTTCCATCATTTACACTTTCAAAATAACAGAAAACAAAAAAATGGCGTCTGCAAAAGTTTGGGCACCCTGCAGAGTTAATATCTTGTACTGCCCCCTTTGGCAAGTATCACAGCTTGTAAACGCTTTTTGTAGCCAGCCAAGAGTCTTTCAATTCTTGTTTGAGGTATCTTTGCCCATTCTTCCATACAAAAGTCTTCAAGTTCTTTGAGATTTCTGGGCTGTCTGTCAAGTACTACTCTTTTAAGGTCTATCCATAGATTTTCAATTATGTTGAGGTCAGGAGATTGTGAAGGCCATGGCAAAACCTTCAGTTTACGCCTCTTGATGTAATCCCCCATGGATTTTGAGGTGTGTTTAGGATCATTATCCATTTGTAGAAGCCATCCTCTCTTTAACTTCAGCTTTTTCACAGATGGCATCAAGTTACCATCCAAAATTTGCTGAAATTTTATTGAATCCATCTTTCCTTCTACTCGTGAGATGTTCCCTGTGCCACTGGCTGCAACACAACCCCAAAGCATGATTGATCCAACCCCATGCTTAACAGTTGGACAGAGGTTCTTTTCATTAAATTCTGTGCCCCTTCTTCTCCAAATGTACCTTTGCTCATTCCGGCCAAAAAGTTCAATTTTAACTTCATCGGTCCACAGAACTTGTTTCCAAAATGCATCAGGCTTGTCTATATGTTCATTTGCAAAGTTCAAACGATGATTTTTGTGGTGAGGACGTAGAAGAGGTTTTCTTCTGATGACTCTTCCATGAAGACTATTTGTACAAGTATCTCTTTATAGTGGAATAGTGTACCACAACTCCAGTGTCTGCCAGATCTTTCTGGAGGGATCGTGCAGTCAAACGTGGGTTTTAAATTGTTTTTCTCACAATCCTGCGAGCTGTTCTGTCTGATATTTTTCTTGGTCTTCCAGATCTTGCTTTAACTTCCACTGTTCCTGATGACTGCCATTTCTTAATTACATTCCGAACAGAGGATATTGACATCTGAAAACGCTTTGCTATCTTCTTATAGCCTTCTCCAGCTTTGTGAGCGTCAACTATTTGTAGTTTCAGTTTTCTAGACAACTGCTTAGAAGAACCCATGGTGCTGATTGTTGGGGCAAGGTCAGATGAGTCTGGGCATTTAAAACCTTTGAGAATGACATAACCTGGTCTTCCCAGAAGATGACTGAGAACAATCCATGACACTGGCAGGTCTCAGCTTTGCAAAGGGGGCAGTGCATGCTAGAAATTCTGCAGGGTGCCCAAACTTTTGCAGACGCCATTTTTTTTGTTTTCTGTTATTTTGAAAGTGTAAATGATGGAAAGCAAATCTAACTTTTGTTGACATATTATAAGAATGTCTAATCTGTAATTTGATGCCTTTTGGAGATTTTTCCATCTTTCCTTGGCTTCTTTATGCACATTAATACAAATTTTTAGCTGGGGTGCCCAAACTTTCGATCCCCACTATATATATATATATATATATATATATATATATATATATATATGATTTTTACTTGTAAACAAAAAAGTGTCAGAAAAAGGCCTGGTTTTCAAGTGGATATATTGTACTGGGCCAACTATGGTCATATATTATTATTATTATTAATATTACAGGATTTATATAGATCTATTGGCTTAAATGCTTGTATGGAAACTTCTTTTATCTTTTTTTTTTTTCAATAAAATAACAAAATAATTGTATTTTTGTGTTTAATTGGTGCCCAAAAAATCCCAGTCCATATTATTTTCACTTCTGTAACTATTATCAGGGATGTGGCACCCCTGACAATCATTAGGCTAGATTTATAAACACTTAGGAACCATGAAACAAGGTTTGATAAGGACTTACTTCGGATCTGGCTGGTCAGCTTTGTTGGTTAGATGTTCATATCCATACTGATTAAGTATACTGACAACAAACATGGGTGCCAGCGACTGAGCAGGCTTTGTGAATAGAGCATTTGTTCCAAAGACCATTGAAGACAAAGGAGACCTACACAGTGTAACAGAAAAAAAGGTTAAAATGGATACAATTCAGAATAATCATCTTGAAACAGTGTCTGAATTGTATTTCTTATAGTGCTAAGCAATGGCACTCCCATGTCTGAGAAATAACTTGATCAAATGTTATTTAAGAACACCATGGAAGTTTTCTTACAGCCACAGGCCACTTATGTCACTACTATGTAACAGATAATTCTATATTTTACTTGTTTCAGTGAGCAGCCATTGTGGCAATAATTTATATTCTACACACAGATGTCTGATAGAAATACACAAAGGTGTGATTAAACAAAAAATATTTGACATAAAATGACTTGCATATTGGGACATATTATTCTGCCGTGTAATAAAAATTAAAATATATTTGGGATATCAGCAAATTAGTTATTTTTCCCTTAAAGGGTGCTACTATAATGGTGACTTATAACATACCACTATCCTCAATGAAGCTCTGTCTTGTCTTTTGTTTGTCTATTTTTTTCTTTTTTGTCTATTTTTTTTTTTTTTTTTTTTTTTTTTACAGATGCTCTGACCTGTTTTTGCATGACTGATGAGGCCAGTCTCTGATTTCTCTTTACCTGTGGCATTTTACTACCCCTGGTTCCACGGTGTACACACCTTTCCATTAACCCCATATGCTGTTCTTCTTTGCCTCCTACCTAACGGCCATTTCACAATTCCAACAAAGCAGTAGAGACAGGTGGTGGATCTGTGTTTTTACCACCTGTCAACCAAAATCCAAACATTGCAGCCAAATCGAGTGGTACACATGCCATGGCCACAATGCTTTGTTTTGTCACCAATTAACTCTGGTTGCAGAGTTTGACAAACAAGGCTGCCAATCAAACTCGCCCATTGGTGTCAATGGGATCGCACCGCAATTACAAGCCAAAACACTTGGCACGTGGCCAAAACAGAATCCCCCTTTGAATTTGAAAGAAAAAAAGTCCAAGCATACACAGTTAGATAACAGCAGGATCACTTTCTGAATGCCCAGCAGTCACTGCTGCTCCACCGCCACCACCAGTATAGACTGCCTCCTGTGTGAAAAAGCCCTAAAAAGAACCTCACAATCCTGTGGTGATATCAAGGCTGGTTACATATCTCACAAGGCACTGCCCTTGGAATGGGGTACAAGTCAATCTTTGATACTTTGCCTAATTTCCAGAAGTTAAGCAAAATCTTAATGAACTTATCTTTCAAGGGAAGCAGAACTATGATGCTACACCAGCCTTTTTCAAATGGGGTGCTGTGGTAAAACGCCTACAAATTGCCCCAAAATTCTCAGACACATGCCAACAGATGGATCAAGCCTGCCTATTTTCTTACAAAAAGCCACAGCTTTTTATTGTGCAGCATTACAACCTTGGACACCAAACAAAAGAAATTGATAGGCCTCTTTCAGATATGGTGGACCCACCAACGGATCCATTTGCTCAGCGGGGGATCTCTCCACTGAGAAAGCAGAAGACAGGTCAGTGTCTGCTCCGCTGCTACATAGTAGACAC